GGAGGAGGAGGAGAGCGCCATCGACAGGGAAGGTGGGGGCCACGAGGTCCGCCGGCTCGACGACGCCCGCGTCGCCCGCGCCCGCCCCCTCACTCTTATCCGCAATTGCGGGGTGCTACGTTTTTATGGATATATATATACACATATATATATATATATATATATATACTCGTGCATATATTCATGTACGTGTATACATCGATGTGTATTGATTATGTTGTTCAATGTATCTGATTGGTTATATATATGCATAGAAGTACCCAGGACTGCGTACACATAGGTGTCATGTCTACTTGGGCAGATCTACGTGAAGGGCATAAACGAATTGAAGGGCTCGCGAGTGCCGAAAGACTTGGGTAGGAGACGGCACTTAGGACATGTCAGAATGTGGAACGGCGACCTGGGCTTACCAATGGCCGTGTCTTTGGGACTAGAGAAGGGGCCGTGTGAGGGCCTTGAGGGGCCTCGGGACCGTGTCGCAGCGGAGTTCGATTATCTCGACACTGAAGTTGTTTTGCGCCGCCGTTCGCTCTTGGGAGGCCTCGCGTATTAACGTCACGCGGACCCTATTGGAGCCTTCCGGACCCTTCTGAGGGCTTCTGTGGGACGCGGTGCAGTCCCGTTATGATTTGGTCCCGTCTTGGAGCGCGTCTTGGCTCTTTTGGGCTGTATTGGGGTCATGTTCGGGCTCATGGCCCGTTTTGGGTTCGCCTTGGGGGTATTTTCTTGAGTTTTCGGACTTCTGCGGGGCCCTTGCGGGATCCTTTGGGGCCTCTTGGAGCTTTTTCCCAACCCTCCTGCGTTGGGTTCTCGTTTTGAATAGAGCCGTGTGGTCTCCACTCCTCCCGCTCCCTCTCCTCCTCTCTTCGTTCCTGCTCTCCTCTCTTGCTTCCCTTCTCCTCCTCCCTTTGCTCCTCCTCTTGTCTCTTGCCTTTTACGTCATCTCTAGGGGGCTGCGATCTGCGGAACTGTCACCACTTTCGAGGGCTGCTGGTGGGTCCAGCGGAGTGAGGCACCACGGGGACTCAGATTAGACCTCGCCATCCCTGGGGGGGGGGCTGCGATCTGTGAAACTGTCGCCACTTTCGAGGGCTGCTGGTGGGTCCAGCGGAGTGAGGCACCACGGGGATTCAGATTAGATCTCGCCATCTCTGGGGGGGGGTTGCGATCTGAGAAACTGTCACCACTTTCGAGGGCTGCTGGTGGGTCCAGCGGAGTGAGGCACCACGGGGACTCAGATTAGACCTCGCCATCTCTGGGGGGCTGCGATCTGTGAAACTGTCGCCACTTTCGAGGGCTGCTGGTGGGTCCAGCGGAGTGAGGCACCACGGGGACTCAGATTAGACCTCGCCATCTCTGGGGGGGCTGCGATCTGTGAAACTGTCGCCACTTTCGAGGGCTGCTGGTGGGTCCAGCGGAGTGAGGCACCACGGGGACTCAGATTAGACCTCGCCATCCCTGGGGGGGGGCTGCGATCTGTGAAACTGTCGCCACTTTCGAGGGCTGCTGGTGGGTCCAGCGGAGTGAGGCACCACGGGGACTCAGATTTGACCTCGCCATCTCTGGGGGGCTGCGATCTGTGAAACTGTCGCCACTTTCGAGGGCTGCTGGTGGGTCCAGCGGAGTGGGGCACCACGGGGACTCAGATTAGACCTCGCCATCCCTGGGGGGGGGGGCTGCGATCTGTGAAACTGTCGCCACGTTCGAGGCTGCTGGTGGGTCCAGCGGAGTGAGGCACCACGGGGACTCGGGGACTCAGATTAGACCTCGCCACCCGTGGGCGGCTGCGATCTGTGAAACTGTCGCCACTTTCGAGGGCTGCTGGTGGGTGGCCAGCGGAGTGAGGCACCACGGGGACTCAGATTCCTGACCACGAGCAATGCTCGCGTGCCCTTGCTCTGCGGTTCGTGCCATCGCTACCGTCCTTCGAGGTTGCCCATCGGGCCCTCTAACAAATATATTCACGCATACTGCCGGCCTGCAGCGCCGTACTGGTGGCTGAAGAAAGGCGCCTGCTCCGCGGTCTTAGCAGCGCGCGGGGCCGAGGCGTAATTGCCGACGCGCGCAAGCTTGCGCTTTCGCTAACCGCGCTTCCAAGTTGCCTGTCAGGCGCTCTATAACCACAGCCACCGCGGCATCGCGGAATTGGATTTCTGCTGAAAGAGTTCGAGCTACGCCTCGCTCGTTCCTTGCACTCTAAACAGGTTTTATCATATGGAACTCTGCGACGACATGGCGCAGGCAGCGCTGCGGGTTTAGCTCGCACTTGAAAAACGCGGCAGTCTTCTGTCTCCTCCCGCCACTTTCATCGTCGTCTTATTCCCCGCCTCACCTTCTCCATGCATGCTGCTGCTTCCGCGATGGCCTTTCGCCCCCCCCGCCCTCCATTCCATCCCTCTCCTGCCCCTCGTTCCCGTGCCCGTTCTTCTTCGATCCTGGGGCCTCAATCCTCGTTCTTTCGATCGTCGTCCTGTGAATCGTGCAACGCACGCGCATCCCATGTAGCTTGCACAGCACATCGCCGCGTCTACACTGTCGTCGTTCCTGCTAATGTTGGCATAGTCCTCTTGCCATTTGATGCACGTGGGTTGGGTACGTCGCAAAGTAATTGGGAGCCTCTTGGGAGTCTTCTTGGGCCTCCTGGGGGGGGGCCCTGTCGGGGCAGTCTCGGGGCCCTCTTGGGCCGGTTTGGGGCCTTCTCGGAGGTCTGTCGGGCCATCTTGGGGCAATCTTGGGGGCCTCGTAGGCCGTCTTGGAGCGTCGAGAAGCCGAAAAAGGGAGAACCCCCAAATCCCCCACAAACCAAAGGAACATCAATGAATTTTGCCTCGTGAGGCCTTCTTGGGAATGCTCTTAGAAGCCTCTTTGGACGTTTTGGAGCGATCTTTGGGGGTACGACATTTGGGGTCGTCCTCGACCGAGCTCAAGAGGCTCGGGGATGCCGGGGCGGGGGGGGGGACGGCGAGTTTTTTGCTGGGTGGGGGTTCCTAAAACAGAATTCCAAAGGCTTGGGGGTGCCGGATCGGAGGGGGGGGCCCTCTGGGGCCGTATTCGGGATTTCGTGATGTCCTCCCAGGTCGTCTGGGGGGCTGCCCGAAAGACACGGGGTGAACCAGATTCGTTAGGAGTGGGGGGCTGCGTTTTTTTTTCCGGGGTACTACTACTATTACTACTACTACTACTACTGCTACTACTACTACTACTACTACTACTACTACTACTACTACTACTACTACTACTACTACTACTACTACGACTCCTACTACTACTACTACTACTACTACTACTACTACTACTACTACTACTACTACTACTATTTCTACTTCTACTTCTACTACGACTACACCACGACTACTACTACTACTACTACTACTACTACTACTACTACTACTACTACTACTACTACTACTACTACTACTACGTACTACTACTACTACTACTACTACTACTACTACTACTACTACTGCTACCACGACTGCTGCTACTACTACTTTTACTGCTACTACTCTTACTACGACGGCGACTACCACTACTATTACTGTTAGTGTTCATACTATTCTTACTATTACAATGAATACTACTACTACTACTACTACTACTACTACTACTACTACTACTACTACTACTACTACTACTACTACTACTACTACTACTACTACTACTACTACTACTACTACTACTACTACTACTACTACTACTACGACTACTACTACTACTACTACTACTACTACTACTACTACTACTGCTGCTGCTGCTGCTACTACTACTACTATTACTACGACTACGATTAGTACCAATACCAGGATTTGTTCCAGAGGCCATCACTACTTCTACTACTAGGACTACGGCCACGACTACGACCACGACTACGACCCAGTACTAGTACATCCTCAGGATACTCATTATCACTGGCAATTTCGACTATGATTATTACCTTCCTCCCCACGGGCGAATTTTGTTGCATCTCATTTATGTACGATCGCCAGAACATGCCCGAGATGACCCCCCATAAGGGCTTGATAACATGTTTGAATTGATCGGTCGTTCAGCAGTTATTTGGAAGGCTTGCATTGTTCTGCAATCTCTCACCCCTCCTCCTCCCTCCTGACTTCCTCCTGCTTTCCCCCTCCCCTAAAACAAGAACAGCATCGGCATCATCATCCGCAACATCTTCATCATCCTCATCAGCTTTTTTGATGCAGCGAACTGCCGGGAACGAGTCGATTGTTCTCCATGGACCCCGAATTTTATTATCCCCACCCTGTGAATTCCAGGGGCATAGGGTTCGCAATGAGTGTAAGACTGCTCGCGCTTCGTCGCTGGCCTGTCATTCCACGACACGCGCCGTCTTCGTCTTCGATCGTGCCTTCACTGGCGGGTCATCTTCCTTGCGCGCATCGTGTAGCGGGCGCGGCCGGTGAAATAGGAGGAGGGGAAAGGAAAAAGGGAGAGCGAGAAAAGTATGAGGAAGCGAGAAAGGAGGGGGGCAAGACGGAGGGAGGAGGATTGAGGGCGAAGAAGATTTAGCAGGAGGGGTAAGAGAGAGGAAGGGAATTTGGCAGGGGGGGCCTAACGGGCGGGTCGGGCGGGCGGGCCTCAGCGGACGGGTCGGGCGGGCGGACGCATGTCGGCTTGGCGGGGCATTAAAGCGGGCGGGAGTGCTTCGAAGCTCGCGGACGGGCTGACCCTGACAGGCAGGTCAGGCGAGGGGACCCCGACGGGCGGGTCGGGCTGGACATTGAAGCGGGCGGGCCAGGCGGGCGGACGACCCTAGCGAGTGGATCGGGCTGGACATTGAAGCAGGCGGGTGGGCGGTCGGGGCATGGAAACCGATGTTGTTCGCTGCGAGTCCTGCGTCCATGGCAGGGAGGTTTCGTGGGAGAGCGCGAGATGCCCAGACGCTGGGGGCGCGGCGCTGAAGCAAACCTGCACGGAAGAGCCCCGCGCGAGTGCACTGTCATTAGCCAGGAGCAGGCCCCGCCCGCCGCTCCCCGGCGCAGGGGGCTGGCCCGCCAGCGACCTCACGGCGTCGGGCGCCTTCATCCGGGACTCCATCCGCTCGTCCATGCGGCCCTCTGCGAGCGCCGGGCCCGGCGGCCGCCGCCAGGAAGCTTGGCATCGTTCGGACGTGCGTTTTGTCCTTTCGGCGAGGATCACGGATCCTGCCACGCCGGTCGTTGAAGGGTGTCACTGGGCTCCCGGATCACAATCTGCTTCAAGAGCCCTCTTACCTCAAGAGCGATGTGCTTCTGCTGCGATGTGTTCTTCTCTGGGAGGGGGGGCTGAACCCAAACTACTTGATCCGCTTGCCTGCTTCATGTGTTCATGTGTTTACCTAGTTATTCCGACCGGCGTGAAAGCGTAAAACAGCCCTCAGCCCTAATAGGTCCACTAGCAGCTAGCATAGGTCTACTGTTTCAGGGCTGTCCTTACACATATGGGTGGTCGTCTGATACATCTGCAAAAAACCCCTGGTTCTCATGTGTTTGGCCCTTGTAACTTGGGTCCCTCGCAAAGGGTTAAGGGGTGTTTGCATGGGTTCTCAATCGAGGGGCATCTGGGATCATCTTGCGAGAAGGAAGACCCACGACACCGACAAGCCTCTTGGCGATCGAGGCAAGGCTCACTCTGTGCTGCCGTTGGTCAGTGATTCCCGGCGGAGTGGAGAGTACGCGCGTTTTCCTGCGCCAGGTGCTGACTGTCGCTCGAATCATCGCTCTCCTCCCCTCCACCTTTACATCCCTGACGGGCAAGTGTTCCACCACCACTACCACAGGTAGGACGAGGGAGAAGGGAGGATGGGGAGGTCCTCCCCCTCCTCCTCCGCCTCCTCCTCCCTCTCCTACCTAGGGCAGTGGTGGTGGAAGAACGAACAGTGAGCCAGTGCTCCGACAGTGAGCCCGGGGCGCCGTGAGCGCTGCAGAGATCAAACGGCGGCAGGCACGGACGAAGCCCACACGCGCACAGGATCCGTCAACCAGCCCCTGCTGCCCACCTTTGATCGCATGCGCGATCAACTGTGCGCTCGGCAACGCCAGGCTCTGTAGGCGTACGCCAGCCTCTGTAGGCATTCGCCAACCTCTGTAGGCAACCTCTGTGATTCCAGCCAGGTGTGCTCCCCGCTTCCCAGGTCGCCGTCTAGGCTCCAAGGCCCCCGGGCTCGCCCGGCCCCCCCGTGCCACCCCCCCCCGCGCGCGGTTTTCGCGGAGCCACCCGCGGCGCGCCACCCTCGGCAAAGAGGAGGCGGGGGGGGGGGCATGGCGGGCCTGCGCGCAAGGATTCCTGGCCTCTCGGATGAGCGACGCAAAACACAAACGGGGCCGACTGCGCAGGCACTGGCGCGCAAGCTGCTCGCGCGAGGTCGCGCGTAAGCGCCCTCGTTGCCAATGTGGCGGGCCGCGGCGGCGGCCCGCACTTACGCCACCGCGTAAGGTCGCTGCCTCATGTCGCGTAAGACCCCTTGTTGTTTTCGTCGCTCAGATGGGGTCGGGCTAGGCTCGAAAAACAATAATCAGCACGAGCATACTTTTTTAGGGGCCGAAGAGCGGCACATCCAGAATCTACTCCGCCGTCGGGGGGCGCCTGCCCCCCCGGGTGGCTGGGTACCCCCACGGCGGGCAGGCAGTCCCCGACTGCGGCGAACTTCTGTGTTCTAGCGTTCTTCGCCCGCTGACTTGTGGCGTTCCTCGCGGATTTCTTGGATCGGCGCTGGGGGCCCCCCGGGTGCGCCTCCCGGGCGCTCGGAGCGCACCAGGGAGGGGGGCCCTGCGCGAATCCAGGAAGCCCGCGCGGAACCTCAAGAGTTTATGTGCTTATGCCGTGTTTTGTCCCTCCATGGACGGGGTGGGAGCCTCGCCGATGCATCGCCGACGCGGCTCGATGTGGAGCCAGAGCTTCTCCGCACCGACATGGCCGATGTGTCCCCGAGGCGTCGCCGATGCATCGTCGATGCATCGGCGATGGGGCGCGATCCTCCATCTCTCTCTGCTCTGACCCCATCGGGGAGGCCTCTAAGGACGGTGGTGAAGTCTCCGAGGGCCGTAGAGGTTAGCCTCATGCGCGAGGCACTGCTCAGGGATTTCAGGGGGCTGCTTGGCCCCCTGGTCATGTTCGCCGTTCAGCTCTTCATGCCAGGGAGGAGGCATTTCTTCCTGCCGGCCCTCATCAACACGGCCATAGTATTGAGCTGCGGGGCCTACATTCTGTGGGTGCTGGCGACGGCGGACGGACACTTCCAGACTAAGAGGATGCACATCCTGAGCGACGCCGTACAGCACACGACTCGCACGCTGGGGCACCTCTCGGTCGTCATCTGGGCCAACGAGGACCTCTTAGGTCGACTGATCTTCCTGTACGTCGCGCCCTGTGGTGCTTCGCGTCTGACGTACCCTGGGCCGTACAAGGCCTACGTCGTGGCACACGCAGTCTTGGTCCTCTACAGGTTCACGGGTGGTGTTGCCGATGATTGGATGTTTATGATTTCGGCATTTGCTTGCTGTCATCTACTCTACGAGGGATTTGTGACCCGGCGGCGCATCGAAGAGGGTGCACAAGAGAAGACGCGGGCCATGGTGACCCTGGCGGAGGAGATCTCGTGTAGCGTGTTCGATTGCTTCTGCGATGCCACTGTGCGCGTATCAGCGGACTTGGACATTCTAGATGATTCGCCCTCGCTGTCCACCCTTCTCAGCCGGCGCGCCTCAGGCGGACGATCGTTCCGGGACTTCGTGCACATGAGTGATCGCCGGGGGTACAGTGACTTCATCAAGAACATCAGCAACGAAGTGGGCGAGTCTGACAGCACACGGACAAGCACAGACAACGTCGGGAGGCTGCAGCTGCGATCTGTGGGCGTGCACCTGGAGGACTCGTTCAACGTTCCCGTCGAGGTGCACCTCTTTCACGCGTGCATGGAGACGGTGGACGAGAAGCCCTTCTACCTTATTGGCATCATCGAGCGCGAGTCCTACAGGTACAGCAAGAAGAAGACCGGCAGGTCGGAGAGGCTCCGGAAGGAGCAGAAGAGAAGGGTGGACAGCACCACCTTGAACTTCGAGTCCGGCATGCTGGAGCCGGCCAGGCCTGCCTTCGAGCAGAAGGACGTCGCCCTCATGAGCAGCATCGAGCTCCTCCGGGACGGCACCGCGGCCGACGGGTCTTCGTCCTCGAGGAGGCGGGCGGGCGGCTCCGGCCAGGAGCGGCCAGGCTCGCCGCGGCCAGAAGTGCATTCGGGCCGCCCCCGGTTTCAGAGCAGCTGACTGTCGCGAGGAGGCCGTGCAGCAAGCCGCGGTTGGCATCGACGAGGAATCCGCTCCCCAGGAAAAAGGCTCCACAGCCATACTTTCAACGCTTGCTGCAGCTATGTATATCGCCACGCTGTTTTCACATTCGTGATTAAACGCGATCGTGAATTCAATCTGAACCACAAGCCGAGTCTCAGAATTGTAATTTCTGTTGTGCAAGTTTAGTGCTGGGTAGTAACATCCCCACCATTTAACATTTAACCTAAACGTTGGAGCTGTTTGTACACATGTAGTGGGTACAAGGGTGAGTTCCAATGTAGCCATCGCCGTATCCAAGTGTTCCCACGTTTCCAAAAGTGCGCTGTGCTTGCAATATTACAAGCACGGCTAGAACCATCACTTGAACCGCGGTTGGAGCTGCACGTTTTTTTCGAGAAATACTAGCCCTGGGGAAATAACAGCCTCAACCGCGGTTGAGGTCCACGCTTTTGGAACAGTTGCGTCATTGGCGCAGGATTCCACATTGTAGTATGATAACACCCCACTTGGCCCATACAGGCCCGCTTAGGCCAAATCATCTCCCCCAGTCGAGTGGCAGCAGGGCTGTCAGTGCTCGGCGCGGCTTCTGTGCTGGAGCTATCCATTCGTTGGCGCCCGTCCTGAAGTTGCAGCCGCTGTACTCCACAGTGGCATCCCCTCCGTCCGCCTCTGCTTCGCTCCCCCCCCGTTTCCCCAGGCTTTTGCTGGCGCCCGCCCCGTCGGGCCTCCGCGCCTCCCTCGCGCGTTCTCCCTGTCGTCGGCGACGCGGGTCGTTCTCTTCCAGGGCAGCGCTTGCACTTGAGCCGCTGTGCTTTCCCAGGGCACTTCTCCAAAACAGCTGTTTTCCCAACATAGCGCTTTCCCAAACAGCGCTTCCCTCACTCTTGGAATCGGATGGGTCCGTCGGGGGCCCGCCCGCCACGTTGCCGCCCGATGCAGGCCCCCCGTTCTCGAGCCACACCCGGAATTTCAAGCGGAGCGCTGCGACCTGCAGGTCTGCTACTGGGTCCTGCCATGGCACATCATTGGGCTGCTTCATATGACAAGATCTGCCCCATAAACTCCACGAGTGCCGCCACGGCTCCACTCCGTCCCAAGACGGTCCACCCGTCACGGCGGCCTGCGCCGAGAGTCCCCTTGCGCTTTCTGCGGGGGGAAGGGGAGACGGAGGAGAAGGGGAGGATAAGGAGGCGGAGTAGGAGGAGGACGCGGAGGAGGCGGAGGAGGCGAATGAGGCGGATGAAGATGAGGATGAGGGGAGGAGAAGTGAAGAAGGGAACCCCAATAGAGAATCTCGCCCGCCATTTGGGTGCAGGAGTGAATAGTGGTATTGTTGTTCCCTGTTCCAAGGCCCTCCTCCCTTTGGGGACGGATCGCCTCCCTCCCCGCCTTGTTTCTCCCCACCCGACAGAATGGGGTCCTTGGATTTTAAGAACCGACTTCCCGACCCGTTCACCCTGCATACCGCGACGCCAGATCCTCAGGCTCCCGAGTATTCCCGAGAGTCCCGCCTCGCGCCCCTTTGCATACCACGGCCGCCAGATCCCCAGGCTCCCGAGTATCTCCGGGAGTCCCGCCTCCGTTCTGCATACCACGGCCGCTAGATCCCCAGGCTCCCGAGTGTCCGCGAGAGTCCCGCCTCGCGCCCCTCTGCATACCGCGGCCGCCCGATCTCCCGGTCCCTCGAGTATCCTCGAGTGCCCCGTTCCGCGCCGACAATGCATACCATGCCAGACCGGTAGTCTGACGTAGCAGTACATAGTACAGTACAACATGATAAATCATGGCAGAAGAGCGCATGGCATCACACCACCTAACATATCAGACCCGAGCATCGCATACCAGATCATGACAAGGCATGCCGTACCATAACATACCAGGACAGAATGGTGCATACCATAGCGCAGCATCACACCAGAGAACATCACATCACATGGCAAACCAAGCATACCCAAAGAAAACATCGCAGAGACGAGCATAGCAGAACAGACCATGTCACAGCCTCGCATACCATAGCATAACATAATACAATACATCATAACACAACAACGCATGCGTTGCCACATTTGAGCACGTGTGCCGGTATATGGTAAAACGTGCCAGAGCATGGCTTCACACCGCATAACATAGCACAAGATGCAATGCCATCTCACATCTTAACATAACGTACCATCGACGCACACATCGCATGGCATATAGCATCGCAGCGCGGATGGCTTATCACGACATGGAAGAGCGCGGCATTCGTTGCGACATTATGGCATAATATAACACAGCACCGCAACATGCGCTATGGCAAACCTGACCATGCAGGACATATCATCACACCACAGTACATACCATACCATAAAATCGTTGACCATCCTATGTGGTGACAAATATGACCATACCATAACATGCCACGGAAAAACGTATCCAACCGTAACACATCATCAACTACCGTACCAGATAACACGACTATTCATAACATGTCAGAGCCTAGTTCGCACTCGGGTAATACAACATATCCGAAACCCATTACAGAAGAACGCATACCATGTCATAGCATCCCGGGGCACGACTCAGCAGGACACACCACAACACCGCATGCACTGAGATCATGGAGCAACCATGCCATACCATAACACCACACAGCATAGAAAACACGGGCAGAACACACTAGAACATAGCGTGGCAGAACATATTGCAACATTGCACAACAGTGGCATGGCACATCATAATTCAACACAGTCTTGCAGCATTTCATAACATGGCAAAGCATTTTATCACAACATGATATATTGCATTACTACGAAATCAGGCGGACAGGAGCAAATAGGCGCAGCAACGACCGATCGGACGACGTATGTATCAAGACAGGCCGTCACGATGTCACAACAGCCCGTCGATAGCAAAGCAGACACCATAGAGCACAACGCACTAGAACATTATCAAGTCGGCATAATACAACGCATACAGTACACCGCAGTCAGCATACTATAAATGAGCTGTTGTACTACTGCTACCCCTACGCCAACATTTACCCAGAACGCGCTTGGTTATATTATTACGAAGTATAGTTCTAACCTAGCAGCATCACATCTAAGACAATTACACAACCGAGGCTGACAGAACATACGTCTTATGTCAGACGTGGCGCCACAGAACACAGCAGATCCTATTAGATCAAATCACGCAGTGACAGGGATGAACCTAGCCGAGTTGACTTTCACAGAAGAGAAAGACAATCTTGAAGGGGGACCTCATGACATACTAGGCCGCATCTTGACACAATCAAGCGCGACGCGCGCGCCGAAGTCTGCCCGGCCACAGGCACAGAGAGGCGCAGCAACGACCGATCGGACGACGCATCTAACGTGACAGGCGTCACGCCGTCACGCCGCCCCGTCGACAACATAACAGATCATACTGTAGCAAAACAGGATCCAACCTTACCGAGCATACCATCACTGACTTCCCTCCTAAATACAGCAACGACACATCAAGTGCGCACTTGCATTCACAACTGGCCAGAGGAAGAATGAGGCGCGGCAGCGACCGATTAGACGACATATCAAACGCGACAGGTGTCACGACGTCATGCCGCCCCGTCGAGATCAGAACAGAGGCGAACATATGTGCATAGAACTGAACATAACCGAGCACAACGCGATGTAGTAGAGTTGAGCAGATGCCATGTACAGGCGGCCTATCATGTACGCGATATGCGCGCCACGTCCAGGCTGGACACTGAAAAAATAGTAGCAGCAACGACCGACTAGAAACCAGAGCAAGCGTGAAAAGCGTCACGACGTCACGCCAGCCAGTCCACAACAGAACATAGCAGAACAGAAGGTGATATACTACACTAGGCCAGAAACGAACCGAACAAAGTAAAGCGCAATATTACGCATACGCCAGCCACCACTTCACGGCGTCTCATCATACGCGACATGCTCCCCGTCGTCAGAGGCGTGCGGGGCGTCCAGAGCAGGAGGAGGAAGGAGAGGTCCGCCTCACCTCCTCCTCCTCATCCTTCGTCGTCCGCCTCCTCCTCCTCCTCCTCGTGCTGCTGCTGCTCCACCTCTTCCTCTTTCAACAGGCTGCAGATTCTTTCCAAACAAGTTTTGGGGTCTCGCGAGACTTGTTTGGGGGTTGGTTTGTCGTTCCAGGGACTTGTTTCGGTTTCTTTTGTCAGGGGTGCTGGGGTTGATCGACGTTCGGAACAAATATCAACTTGAAACCTGGCCCGGCCGCCGCGCTGGCCGAGACCGACGGGCCCCGCGCACATCGTTCCAGTAGGCGCGCGCACCGTTGGGAACAAACGCCGAAGTTTTCGGTGGAGACGCTCGAAGCAAACTAATTGTGTTGGGGAGGCGCGATTCGTCAGGGCGCCCAACAATGTCGGCATCGGGTGATGATGAAGATGATGATGGGGATGACGATGACGATTTTGAAGACGATGTTGATGCTGGTGATGGTGATGCGGGTGATGATGATGATGATGATGATGATGATGATGATGATGATGATGATGATGATGATGATGATGATGATGTTGCTAATCATGATGACGAGGAGGATGGAAATCATGACGATGGTGATGGCGATGGTGGAGGTTATGATGATGGTCTAAAACTGCGGAGGAGTAAGGAGGAGGGAGGATGAATGGCTTCCCCGTGCGACGCCAGGCGCTGGTGCTCGTGCCCCACTGATACATGTCGCCGCTTTTCCCCACATGTAGGATTTCAAGTCGACAGTTCTGAGGAGGAGGAGGAGGAGGAAAGGGAAACAGGGGAGCTATATAGCAGCTATATAAAAGGACGTTCTTCTTCATCGATGGCCTACAAGATGGCCCCAAGTTTCGTTCAGGCCCCCCAGAGGACCCCAAGATGGCCCCAAAAGCGCCCAATTGCCCCCAAAGTGCGTCTCACGGGGGCCCCAAGGTTCCAGGGATGGCCCGAAGAGGCACTCCAAGCCCCCCCCCTTGCTCGCAG